CAGACCAGTTTGTTTTCTTAGCAGTCCATGATATATTCAATACTCTTCTCCAGCACCACAATTCAAAGGCATCAATTTCTTCTATCATCCTTAGTCATTGTCCAGCTCTCTGCTGCATAGCAAGTAATTGTGAAGACCATGGCCTGAATCAGGCGTGTCTTCGTCTCTAGACTGTCATCATTGTTCTTCAGTACTCTGAAGAAGTCCCTGACAGCAAATTTTCTCAATGTGATTCGTCTTTTGATTTCTGACTGCTGGTACCAAAAGTGTTAAATGAGCAGCCAAGGAAGCTGAAGCCCTTAACCATCTTAATCTCTTCTCCATCTATCATGATGCTTCCAATTGACTCTGTAGGGAGAATCTTTGTTTTCTTAATGTTGAGCTTCAATCCATATTGAAGGCTGCAGTCCTCAACCCTTTGTAGCAAATGTCTCAAGTCCTTCTCAGTTTCAGAAAACAAAAATAATACATATTTTTAATACATAAAAATTTACATGCATAGTATAAAAGACATAAAAAATAATACATAAAAATAATTCTTTTATGTATTAGGATCGTAATCAGAAAAAACTTTTAATATGGCTTTTATGAAATTATAAATTTTGTGGATAAATTTTGTGCTTTACTGACATTACTACTGTCAACTTGCTTCTTCAACATGCTGTCATTCTCAAAAGAAATTTTGGTGAAGGACAGATTATATGTGAACATTTGCCCAGAAAATAGTTATTTTAAGTGTTACCCACATAGGGAAAAGGATTAAAGACCATGTCTGCTTTTACATTCTCATAAGTGATTTTTTTCCTGTTTTAAAATAATATCACCTACTCAAAATAGTCAATATTTGTACACTAGACAACTTCACCTTAAATAAGGTGGGGAGGGGGTGTCATGAATATTTTGACACATACCCTTTCTTTAGAGAGAAATACAACCAAAAGTCAGGATTTCTACCTGCCTCTGTAACTGAAACAATATTCAAATTTATTGGTTAATTTTGTTTGTAGCAAGTAGTCTCTTTATAACCCTGAATTTATCTTGTAGGTGGCCTTTTAGAGTAAACTTTATTTGATTTTATATCCTGTGCTCATAATCTGGCCTTATGCCTGGCCTCCCAGATTGCAAATATCTACAGTATAACCCAGTGTTAAATAAAGCAAACCCCCAAAAAAAACCTTAAAAATATTACAGATGTTAGTAATAAATTACTAAGTAATATTCACATTGGGGCAGTAATAAAGTATAATATTATGCTGATGGCCTTTTTTAAATTGTTCCACTATTCATTAAGACATTTAGGCTTTCCCATGCTCCAAATAAATTACTGTCTCCTACACTTGCAAGACAGTTGTTTTAGGTGGTAGAGATACTCCATTTATTTGTTTAATTTAATTCTGTTCATTACAAAGGTTAAAAAATAAAGGCAGAGCACTGTATACATAGTGTCAGCCAACTCTGAACCTTTACTAAAAGACAGTTAAGTACATTTTTTGGGAAAAAAAAACGCACCAAGCATTTTATAATAGATTCTGCTAAGCTCAAAAGGCTTAAATCCTCACAAATTCCTCAAAAAGTCAAAATGAAGGTTATTTAGAAGTTTGTGGCGTATGTTTGAATCTTGAAGAAAAGAGAGAATTTAATTAAAATGGAAGCTACAAATAGAAAAGAAAGATGGATGAGAGAGAAAAGGAAGAAGAAAGGTGGGAGGGAGCAAAGCATTCCAGACAAGATGGGTGCATTCCAAGAATGAAGTAAAAACACAAGAGCCACATTGAGGACACCATGTTGGAACAGATGGTTTGTATAAGGCAGTGGTTTTCCAATTATGTTCTGATGAACCCCCACTGGACCTTGTTGGCATGGAGGTGAAGAGGTCAGCTATTGGAGTCTTAAGCAAAGCAGTGCTGCAGGTATGTTTAAAAGATTAGTCTGATAGTGGAGTCAGAGGAATGTGATGGGGAGCTGTTCAGTAGGTTAGATTAGATGACATGAGCCCAAATATCATTGACCACAGATTTGAAAAGAAAAGAGGGAGATAGATGTATGTACTCTCACCAGGGAAGAACCATCAGGACTGGGTTACAGATTGGATGGATCTAGTATGAAGGGGAGGAGGAATCAAAGATTCATTCACAGATAAACATGAAAACTCAAATGTTTTGTTGAATTTAATCCTGTGGCAGCAAATCATATGTGAACTGAAAAATAATGCATTGATTATGTCCAAATGCTGAAGGAAAATGAAAAAGGAGATTTAACTTGTTAACATCATTGAGTCAACTGCAACTCATAGCAACCCTATGCACAATACGCTTGAACGCTGAACTATATCCTAAGTCATCCTTATCGTCTTGGATATACTTGATCCCATTGAAAGAGTCACTGTCACTGTTTCTCATTGAGTTGCTTCTTCTTCGCTCACCTTCCACCTGTCCAAGCATGATGTGCTTTTCCAAGGACCAGCCCCTCCTAACAATATATCCAAAATATGTGAGATGAAGCTTTACCATCCTTACCTTCAAGATGCACCTTGAAGACACCTTTGTAGAAGACATATTTGTTTGTTCCTTTGACAGTCCATGGGATATTCAGTACTCTTCTCTAGCACCACACTCAAAGGCATCAGTTTTCCTTCTGACATCCTTAGTCATCATCCAACTTTTAGGTGCTTAATAAGCAATTGAATCAGATACACCTTAGCCTTTCAACTGTTATCATTGACCCTTAATACCTTGGAAAGATCCTATACAGCAAGTTTACCTAATGTAAATTAATCTGCATTATGCACATGATACAACCCTACCTTCTGAAACTGAGGAGGACCTGAAGCGCTTGCTGTAGAAGGTCAAGGACTGCAGCCTTCAATATGGACTGAAAATCAACATCAGGAAAACAAAGATTCTCCCCACTGGGACAATTGACAGCAGCATGATAGATGGTGAAGAGATTCCTATGCATCAGAAAGCTAGACAGTGACTAGGGATGATAGAAGGAACTTTGAGCTGTGGTGTTGGAGAAGAGTATTGAATATACCATGGACTGCTAGGAGAACAAACAGATTCATCCTAGAGAGGGTGAGACCAGGCTGCTGCTTGGAGGCATGGATTCTGAAGCTTCATCTGACACACTCTATATATGTTTAAAGGAGAGACACGTCCTTGGAGAGGGACAACATTCTTGCGAGGGTGGAGGGACAACACAAGAGAGGAAGATCCTCAATGCGATGGATTGATTCAGTGTCTGGGGTAATGGGGGTAGATGTGTCAGAGACAGACAATAAGATTGGCACAGGATAAAGCGGGATTTAGGACTGTTGCACATAGGGTCACTACGAGTCGCAAGTAACTCAACGGCACATAACAACAAGAAGTACATTTTTGTTATCTGTAACTGGTAGGTTTGGTATGATCTTTATTTTCTCTTGTTGGCTATGTTGTTGTTGTTATGTGCCGTCAAGTCATTTGCGACTCATAGCGACCCTAGGTACAGCAGCCCTAAACC